GCTTAACTTGGTATATAAATGGAAATATATAGTTAATTTTTGGTCCCCCAGTTTGTTTGTATTGTCCTTTTTAATCCTCTAGCCAATTATGTTTATGCAAGGAAGAAGCAGGTAATAAAGGAGGGAAAGGAAACAAACCAAGAATTAGCTAACAAACTATGATTACTTTTCCTGCAAAACTTAGTTTGGCTTTTAACGAATTGAGGTACCATGGCATAGAGTGATGTCTGTTAGTGGGCTCACCAGCAAAAATAAATCACATTATAGCTTGCCATTCCATGAGTGATGCTAATTTGTCAGTAAAGTTAAATTACAGTTTACTTGTTCTTTATCTAACACAAAATAAGATGAATACCTCTCATAAATATACGAATCTGGGTCTAATATAAAATTTCAAACTATAAAGGAAGGAAATTAAGGCTTCTTTGTGATCCTATCCATACATGGGCAGAATTAATAGAAAGTAGTAAGTGTTTAATCAGCCTATCCTGAGGGACTTTTTCAAATGTTGGTCAGCTACAGTCATAATTGTTAATAGATCTCAAGTTGTAAATCTTCATGTAGTGTCTGCTAAATTATGACTAAGCAAAGAGTTTTATTCACAATTTCAGACAAGGTTGTGTAATTATATTAGTAACACACATATACATTCACATAATCTCCCACACACAAATATTTACAGAAAAAAATGGAAATGAATACATGGCATGTTACTTCTATCGATGCTGCAAGTCATGAGTCAGGCCTTTACCTCAACATGATATAATGGACAGAATTATTTTTTTTTAAGCTCTGTATAAAATGGCATTTCACCGGGAGTTTTTCAAACAATTTGATGATGACTCCTTTTTTTAAATACACAAGGAGAAGATGATTTTGGTGAAATTTTGTTGCATGGCATACAATATTCAGGATCATACTGTATAGAGTTCCATGGTGAGCAAAAAGCTTCTATGAATGTTCTGTCTTTATATAATATCCGCTTTTTTCCTTTTTCCAAATTATGAATTGAAAATTGTATTTTGAACCCAATTTTACATGGATAAAAGTCAAGTTGGCAGCTGCAAAGAAAGTCCACATGTTTATGTGCAAAAAAAAAAAAAAAGTGGAGCTTTGATTGTATTGTCATGTCCATCGTCTTGATTTTTTTTAACTGCTTTGTGGTCACTTCTGTGTCCAACACAGATCAGGATTTCCCAGTTTGACTGCCAGTAATGGGGCAAAATGGATTCCTATCATTTCCTACTGCAAATTGGTTCTTAATACATCAGAAGAAAATTTAGAATCCCAGTTCAAAACCAAATACTGTGCCCTAGAGATCCTTGATGTGTGTGGAGATAATAATTATAGAGACATAGATGAAACATTCCACATGAAAAGAAAATTAAATTGTGAAATGAATACTAAATTTCTATTTCAAAATCATGCATTTATCAATATGCTGCTCTTGAAATGACAGGTGCACAATAAACAGTTTATTAGACACAAAAATGATACAAGTGAGGGAAAGGTATTTTTTATATTGCGTCGCATTGTACTCCCAATTTATGACCTACTTTGTCTAGGGCATTTGAACAGTCTTTAACTAGAATATTTAAAATTATCGAATGCAATTGCTTCTAGGCCATGTTCCTATGAATATTTGAAACTAAATTCCATTAAAATAAGTACAGTGGCTACACCCTGCAATCACTATCTAAATAAAGTCATAATATTTGCACAGCTAATATTGGACTTTTAAATTGGACTTTGTCCCTCTTGGTTAAGTTCAAGTAGATTTAGACCAGACATGTCAAACTCTTGATTCACGTGATGTTGCGCAACGTATCGGGACTGTTTTGCCATTGCCGGCAATGGGGTGGGCGCGGCTTCCACATGACATATCAGGCCCATGGGCCAGCAGTTTGACACCCCTGATTTAGACCATAGTGTTCAGTAGTGGTTATTAGTATTCCAAACTGCTTAAAATATTTTATCTAGTTCAGAATACTTTATCTATATGCTATACTATGTACAGTACAAATTAATATTTAAGACATTAAATTTAGCCACTTAAATAATTCCTCAATTTATAAGTAGCAAATTAAAGTCCATTTGATAATTTATAGCAGTATTTCTCAACCTTGTAATTATAAGAGGAGTGGACTTCACCTCCCAGAATTCCGTAGCCAGCCTTGATATGGGAAAACTGTACAACTCACAATGAAGTCACAAAACTTAAGGGCATCAATATGAAATACAAACATCCCTGTAATGCTTGAAAAGGGAAATACAATTTTGTTTACTTTTTCAGTAGGGAAAACACTTTGTGCAAACACTGTCTGGATCAGTGATCCCCAACCTTTTTGGCACAAGGGACTGGTTTAGCGGAAGACAATTTTTCCACAGACAAGGAAGGGTGGGGGGATGGTTTTGGTTTTGTTCACTGACTCGCTACTCACTTCCAGCTGTGTGACCCGGTTCCTAACAGGTCACAGACCTGTTGTAGATAAAACTAAAACAGTTTCCTTGGTGGCTGGGGAATTCTGGGAATTGAAGTTCATACATCTAAAAATAGTTCTACAGGATACCTTGTTTTATTTCAATCCTGATCTGAATTCTTATTGTTTGTAATGCATTTAAATTGGAATTTTGTTGCATGCATGACTCAAAACCTCATCACGGCTTTTTACACATATTCAAACTGTTTTAATTCATGCTTGGGAAATATGTAAAAATAGAACTGAAATATTTGAAATAAAAGCTATAGAACAGGCATGTCAAACTCGTCACGTGATGTCGCACGACGTATTGCGACTTTTTCCCCATTGCCAGCAATAGGTGGGCATGGTTTCGGCATGACGCATCTGGCCCGTGGGCCGGCAGTTTGACATATCTGCTATAGAAGCTTTAGTAGGAAATGAAACTGTACTTGTGAGGAAATCCTGTTCTATCAATTTCATGATTTGCAGAATTTCCAATGTGGGCCATTTTTTATTGTCTTTGCTATGTAATTCTCCAATAATAAGTCTTCAGATATATTTCAGATTTGGATTTTTTTAAAAAAAAAATCATAACGGTCTGTTTATGTACAAGAATTGTTCAGCATAACATTTCCCAAATTCCAGTGGATTGATAAAATGTTAATATTTAACATAAATAACTAAGTATTCTAAAAGGCTATTTGAACAAATATTTAAATTACATCTACTGGCAGATTGATAAGGGAAGATTGTACAATTCACAATAGAATTCTTGAGCACCAGTATAAAGTTCAAACATTCCTGTAATATTTGAAAAGGGAAATACAAAACCGATCACCTTTTCAGTAAGGAAAAGCATGGTGGCTAAAACGGCAAAAAAAAGCATCTGAGGAAAATAATGAAAATAAATCATTATGTAAATGCATAAATAACATCTATGATGGTCATGCCATGTTGAATTTTTGTCAAAAACATTTGCTTTACTGCCTTATTATAGTGTTTGATATTACAGTGGTCTGCTGGTTAAAAAAATGGAGCAGGGGAATTTGAATTCTAGTCTTGCCTTGGACCCTGAAGCCAGCTGGGCTAGTCACTCCCTCTCAGCCTTGGGAAGAAGGCTATAAACCTTTATCTGGAAAACTGCATGGACTTCTACATGTAGTCACTGATATGAAGGCAAAAAAAAAAAGTATCTTATTTTTCTGCTAACAAATCTTCAGGGAAATTTAGCATTAGTGACTTGCACGATGATCCATGTTCTGTGTGTAATAAATTAAAGCACTATGCTTTAACTTTTTCAGGAAAACAAAAATCATTTTTCATATTTTCCACTAAATATGAAGCATTGTATTTTCAAGGATTCATCATTAGTAATGAGAAAACAGTGAAATCATCTTTGCAGATAGTTATTCTTAGCCTATTAAACACCAGGAAGCAGTGTGCTCTCGCTTTTATCTTTATTAGAAAACCAGTATTGTACTGCCTCCTGGTGGTCAATATAAAAAGTACCTGAAAACATTGCCGAGGATATATACACTATGGAGGAATAACAGCTGGTTCAGAGTCATGCATGATTGTAATGTAGTCTTATGACCTATTTCAGCCATAAGGGGAGACTAATTTCCCCCTTTATGAAGGAATGGCACTGCTTTCACATTCATCCCTTCACTGTCAATGAAGTCCCTTCTTCATTTTTTTTACATGCACAAAATAGTTAAAAGTTTCTATTTCTAGAAGTAAACTAAATATAGGACCCTGTATAGACTTTTATCTGCACACTTTTAATTTATGAGAAATATAATCTTTCTGGTATTAAATCATAACACATAGCATTAACTAATTCAGAATGATGTATAACAGGTTTTCTGTTTTCTAGATGTGTATTTTTCCTTCTCAAATTGGAGATACCAAGGAATGTACTTGGGATGCTCTGTATACAATATGACCTTAGCCATTAAGTAATAATTCTTCTACTGTTATACAAAAGGCAGGGAATTCCATTTGATGCTTGATAGATAACACTTCTGTGAAATTTTATGGTGCAGTTGCTAATTTCTGAGGGGTGTTATTCCTCCTGGATAAATGTTTTCCAAAACAGTAGCATGCCCATCTTTGAATATAGGCTTCTTCCCCATTTAAGAATGATGATAAATCAAAGTTGCAGATGTTTCTTATGCATGTCAGAAATTGTTTGAAATCCTCAAATTCAATTCAGTAGGATGTATGTCCCTGTGCATACATTAGAGATACAAAGCTGTGGGTTGTGTTCTAAAAATAAGTGACAATATTAAAAATAATGGGTAAAATCTGAAGAGTAAATTGTCTGTCTGCTCTCCCTAGTTTTGAATATACCTTGGCTTCAAAGTTGCTTGTATATCCATGAAGAAAAAGTTATCTGAAAAAAAAGTTCCAAGTTCAGAACAGTTGTACAGATTTTTCTCTTCTGTTCACCTATAAAAAAGGAAAAGAAAGTTTCCTTTCAGGATTATTTTTTCTATCTTTGGTTTGTTCATTTTCTTTTTCTTTTTGTTTCCTTTATTGCTCAGCATATGATGTTGTTTGAAATAAAACTTCTGTGACCTTTCCTACATTAAACCAAGGATTTGATTTATAGTCATATCTCAGAAGTCCACCTGAGGGCAGATCATTGCAGAACTGTTAAAAGAGTTTTTTTTTCTGGAGTTTCTTCTCATTTCTCCATTTTCTTCCTTAAGGGCCTGTTGAAAAATCCAGCCTGCAAGGAAAGTAATGAAAAAAAACCATAACTCAGATTAAAAATTACTGCATTAGACACAAAGGAGATAACTGCAAAATCTTATAGTGCAACATGTATAAGTTCAGACTATGAGCTAATGACAGATTCCAAGTGTCAATTATTCCAATGCCCCCCCCCATGCAAAAAAAATTTTTTTTCACAAAGAAGAACAAAAGTCATAAAAACCACATTAGGACAAATATAAATTGTGAAAAAAACTATCAGTTAATTTGGTAATATATACTAGATTTATTCTGATGGAAATATATAAAATAACATGCATGCTGCTTGGAATTAAAAACATTGTTTTTCACATTTGTACTAGTGCTGTTTATTTTTGTACCTTGGGATTTCTACTATCCTCTACCTTTTATTTCTAATATCATTTAATATTCTATATCCTCCACTGGTCTGTTACTAAGGCGCTATCTTAATATTTTCTCTCTTCTCTCTCCATTTTATTATACTGATACAAACTTGACTATGTTGTTGTTGCTGTTGTTGTTGTTGTTGTTAACCATGATAAATGGGTCACTTTGTGGTTACATTAATAGCAATTGAAACAAGTAATGAAACTACACTAAGACACTAAAAGTTGTGAAGATCTTATGTTCTTAGCTTTGACAAGGCTGCCAACTTATGGACAGATGACTAATAACACTTAGCAGTTTTAACTGTTTTAGACTACATCACTCTGTGCAGATGAATTTGTTAATATGACAGCAATAAAGTGTTTTTATATGGAACACTGGGAAGAAATGAAAAAAATTGCCAATAGAAGAAATTTGTAAAAATATATTCATATAATTTGAAAACAGAAAGCTAAATAGTTAACTTTCATGAAAAAAAGACACATGTGAGAAATAGCATTTAGGAAAAACCAAGTTTATAAGGAAGTGCAAGTTTAGACTAAAAGTTTAATCTTATATATTGCATTATCTAATTCAGAGCACTGTTTTTCTCTTTTGGATTACCTTTCCATCCAAACAGATAATTCCAAGATAACAATACCAATCTGAACAGCCACTAATCTACTCCAAAATATTTTGCATGTTTTTTATAACATTCAGAATCTGATTGTATAAATATTAACTGAAAACCATTTAATAAGAATATATACTCCAACTTTCAAAATCATGGCATACAAAAACTGTCTTCTGAACCAGTTTGTTTTCATTTGTAACCCTGCAAGATAGAAAGCATTGATTTTTTAAAAAAAATCATGGATGGCTTATCATTTAAGTGGCATTGCTTAAGCAGGTAATCAGAAAGATTTTCCCCTTATTGCTTTTGCCAACTCACCAAAGCTTCAGAAAAGGGAAATATGGAAAAATGCATCGTACCTTCCATAATGCAAATATAAGCAAGGTAAGAATCAGGAGCCCCGCAAAAACACTGAGCAGAATGACCCATAATGGCACACGGCCAGGAAGAAGCTCCTTTGAGACTTGAATTATTGTCTGAAAGACATTAAATCAAAACAAGCATTCATGATTTCTCTAAAATAGAAACTGAGGCATCAAGTCAAATAGGAACTACTTTTTTATTCATTAGAAACTCAAATTCTTTTGTTATCAAAAACAACTTGGGATTGATTCAAGGGTTCCTTTTAGTGAGACAGGACCAATTATTTTTATCCTAATAACTTTCCACTTGTCTTCAAAATCTGCTGTAGATGTTGGATGGGAAATAGCCACTGGAAGTATAGATCTCTCTTAACTCTGACTCTAACATAACTTTTTTTTAATGAATAAACCTGTTTAGGGAAAAGTTAAAAAGTGTAAATATAAGTGTACAAATGCTAATGTTAGGAATATTTGAACTCTGATTCTCTCCCACTTATGGGATAGTCCTATAAGTGCAAACATTTTGTTTCTTCTGCAGTGTGGATTCTATTCTATAGATAAATATTTGTGCCTTGGAAATAAAAATGTGATAAGTCACATATATCAACTGTTCATCATTTCAGGCATATTAATGCTCCAATTCTACACCTACATTATAGCTATAGTTCTATACTTGCTGATTTGCGAGTTGATACTTAACTCTTAATCCTAATAGAGGATTTAGATTTTTTCCAAATAAAAATAGGTTTTATTGACTGATTGATTAAATTTATATGCCACCCATTTCCCTGTTGAGCAAGGCAATTATACTCCAGTCCTGTTTAATATGATGAATCACATACATAGCACATACATGAAAAATACGGAGCTTCAGTTGTCCAATTGTGCCTGTCAGTTTGACTCCGTTGGCCCTTCCTACTGATACTCCTGAATTTGATGAAACTTTTTAATGTCAGTGAAATAGTAGCAAAAAATATAATAGGTAAGAAGTAATTTAATTTTATGTGTATGCCAAATAAAAATGAATACTTTCTGAATATCTATCAAATCATAAATATTCACCAAAATAATATAATGCATGGTTGTTACATTATTTTTTTAAAAATGCAAAATCTAAAAAAGCAACTAAACTGACAACTGTATGATATGGGCTGACATCTTACACATTATACATCTTATGCATTATACCAGTTATACATATCTAAATATTGTTTCTACAAGGACACTCACAAATATTTATTAATTTGTATAATACCAACCGCTGTATCAAGGTTCGAGTAAATATGCTAACTGAGTTGCAAGCAAATATATAGCTAATGGTCTGAATGGTTACTTATAAGTAATTTTTCTATATTTGTTGGGATTTTCCACCTAATTACAGACAGATAATTTTTCTGGCTAAACTGGCATGCAAATTGAATTTGTGATATGCAAAATAAACTGCTAGAACTCACCTCTATTTTTTCATTTTCTTTCTTCAAGATCATTAATGCATTTTCAGTCCTTAGACTTGCTGTCACAATGAGTTCTACACTGTGAATTTTTGCCTAGAATAAAATGGATTTGATAAGATAAGATAACCTTTATTGTCATTTTTTTACTGTGGGCACAACGGCACACATCAAAAATGAAATAGTTGCCCGTTCTCAAAGTGAAACACATACATGACACACACCTAAACATACTATGAACAACATATTACAGATCCACATACCTACATATACGTAGCAAATAAATATTAAATACTGTCCATCTTGAATATATAACGGAAGGAGGAAGCTTGAGAGTTCACAAGGTTAATGCTGTATGGGATGAAACTATGGCTGAATCTGGATGTTCTTCTACGGATACCACAAAGCCTCCTCCCAGAAGGTAACAAGGAAAACAGGTCATAAAGAGGATGTGTAGTGATGGTTCCAAATTCAAAAGAATGATTCAGAGAAAAAAAATGATGTTTATTGCTTATAAGAAATGGCAGTGGAAGGGCACATAAAGGAATTTGCTGTGATGGCAAATAATTTACTATTACACTCCCTTAATGGCCTTCATCGGGAAAATAAGCAGTATTTTGGCTTATTTAAGAAAATCCTTTCTTCTAGAGGTTGACACAAGAAGGGCCAAGGGAAAAACTATTGGCATCAAAATATTTGTATCCCTCAGTGGACACTGCAGTTTCAATTCATCTCAAATTCCATTATACTCATCAAGGCATACCAGAGTTGGGAAACAAAATCTGGACTTTAGACAAATGTTGCCTACCATCTGGACTCACTTATTGTCCAGTATTTTCAGTTGTTCCTCTCCTACAATCTCATGAGATCAATCTTTGGACCAAAGAACAAAAAAATACTTGCAAGTTGAAGCCAATGATAGAACATGGAGAGATTCCCCCCCCCCTTTCTACACAGCTTTTAAGGCAATATCTTTGTTGTAAAAATGCTTGCAGGAAACCAGAAACATATGGTTTATAGGCTGCATATAAAGATTTGAGTATGTGCCATCAAGCTATTTTCAACTCCTAGCAACCAAATAGATTTTTTTTTGCAAGATGATCTGCCCCTAACATATTCTTCTACGTCTCCCAACATTGTACTCATGACCTTGTAACTGAGTCTATCTACTTTGCTGCTGCTCTCCTCTTTCTTTCTAACTTATCCAGCATTAGAGCTTTCCCAGAGCTGGATCTTTACATAATGTGTCCAAAGTAGGATAATTTGAGCTGGGTCATTTGTGCCTTAAGTGAGAACTATGTTTAATGATCCATTCACTTGAGATTCTCAGTAGTCTTTGCCAACCTCAAATTTCAAAGGTATCAGTACTTTCCTATTCTGCTTCTTTAAAGTCCAACTTTCACTTCCATAACATGTCACAGGGAATATCATGGCTTACATAATTCTTTTTGTAGGTATAGACACGTTAGAGCATTTCAATATTTTTTCCAAGACCTTCATGGCTGCTCTGTCAAACAGTAGCCTTAACTGATTGTTCCTTTACTGTTGATGGTTGATCCTACACAGCAGAAGCTCTCCACCATTTTGATATCTTCATTATCAATTTAAAGCTGTTTTTTTACCTGTTTGGTCTTCCTAATATGTAATTTTTGTCTTTTTTTTCCACTGTATTCTTTGATTTTTTTTAGTCCTATCACGTGTCTTAATACTGAGGCAACATTCCCTCTTTTCAATGGTATATTCTCTTTTTAGCTTTAGTTCCCTGGAAAATTTCTCTGATGAATCAGTGCTCTAGTTTTGTCTTATATCTCCTCTTGGCCTTGTTAGAAGAGGCTCCCTTATGGTGAAATTGGAAGTCCTAGCCATGATGGAAAAAATGGTTGCATCTCTGTTTAGATCAGTCTCTGTTTCTTTGAATGTTAACAACACTATCTTTTACTGAAAAATAGTTAACAGTATCTAGCTAGCTATCACTTTATAAAGACAATTTTGCTCTGGTTTCAAAATCAAGAATCCACCAACATCCATGAAAACTTTTAAGTGCTATCAATATTTTTCTTTTAGAGGAAAGAAGGTAATTCTTCTTTTTACTCTACTCTCTGTCTTAGTGAAAGGAAATTAATTACTACCTGGCATGCAATAGAAAGAAAACTCTGAAGGTTATTGTTTTACAACATTACAGTCCTATGCTGTAATGTTTGATTGGCCTCAAACATATGTAGATGGGTGATATGTTGCTCATTGCTTTAGCAGGAAGAAAGCAAACAAGGAAATAAGAGGAGAATTTAACACATTCCTTTTCTTAAGTCACAATAGTATACAGGTAGTCCTTGACTTATGACAACAATTGAACCCACAATTTCTGTTGCTAAGTGAGACAGTTGTTAAGTGAACTTTGCCATTTTATGACCTTTCTTGCCACAGTTGCTAAGTGAATAATTGTAGTTGTTAAGTTAGTAACACAGCTGTTACTAACCCCATTGACCTGGGTTGTCAGAAGGTCACAAAAGGAGATCAAATGACCCGGGACACTGCAACTGTCATAAATACGAGTCAGTTGCTAATTTTGGTCATGTGACCATGGAGATGCTGCAACGGACATAAATATGAAAACTGGTCTTAAGTCACTTTATTCAATGCCATTGAAACTTCAAATGGTCACTAAACGAACTGTTGTAAGTCGAGTACTACCTGTCATTGTACACTCTGTGAAACTCAGTATAGTTTACTCTTCTATCTGTTACCATCCAGAGTTATTGAGCTTGAATTTCCAGATTCCCAGTATGGCTAACACCTGGGAATTATGAGCATAAATGAAAATCAATAACTCCATCAATTCCTCAAAAACTTGCACCCATATGCTCCGTTCAGATTTGGCCTAAGGCAACTACAACAGCAATAAAATTACATGAAATTGAATATATATCAAGAAATAACTGTAAAAAACATTTGCATCACAATAAAAAAATTTGCCGCCTGAACACATTATGTATTAATATAACAGCATAACACTTCTTTCAGTAGAAGCTTCCTAGCCAGTACCAAGCAAGTAGCATGATGCATGTACCTATAATATGTACAGTATGTGTTTTTGACAAAATATCATTTTAAATTCCTAATAAATGATAGCTCACTTACCTTTATGAAAGTAGGCTTCCAGAGTCTGAATGAAATATTCACATGAGTAATATTTGATGGGGCTATAGTGCAGTTAATGGATGCACAATCATATCTATCACAATTCTACATAAAAGACCACAGACACATCTCATTAATATATTTGCAAACTATAACTACCCAAAATAGCAAAATTTTAGATAACGTGACACATTCTCTATGTCATGCTGAAATAAATATGAAATGTCCTGATAATAACAATGGTGACACCAGTAAAGTTCATTCAGTGTTCAGAAAACTCATCATTTTGCATTCAGGAAGGCCCTCACTGCAAGCTATAATAAA